AGACACTGCCGATAGCTAAGATTCAGTCCAGAGGACTGTAAAAACTATTTTAATTCACCCTTCCTTACAATCATTTTAAGACGCTAACATTTCTTAAATACTTGAAAAAACGGATAGATTATTTGCATGAGTCACACTTGTTATATTATGAAAGCTTTTTATTTCATTTCATTTATTTTAAGTATGTAACAGAGAAACTAGAATGAACTACCAACCACAGCCCTTGTTTGTTCACAGCCTACATGCAATACAATATACATTTCTTAAAAATCACACTCCAGCACTCCTCTTTAGCATTTATATTGCTTCAATCTGTTTACAATTGCTTTAAAAAAAGTCAGCTTAATATGGATGGGGGAATATACTAATAATTAAGACAGTTCCTACATCTCTCCATCTGAACTTTAGACAGTAACAGTGTTTCAACATTAATTTTTCTTGGCATCTAAATGAAAAAACAGGGAAATTTCATACAAAGCCACGCAAATTTAACCTCCTAATTGGATTGACCTTTTTACATACAGATCTTGGTCTGAACCCTATTACAATCTTGAGTTTCCTTCTAGGTACTGTATGGAATATTCATTCTTGCCATTACAACCTTCAAGTGTACATGTCACTACCAAGTAATACCTGGAGAGCCACCTAGAGCTATATGAATTTTGCAAAAAATACTGCTCAAATATTTATTTGTATTTTTAAACAAGAGTTGGTCATGTCTTTGTATCTACTTCCCAAGAATATTTTAGTAAAGAACATTTACTGGCAGGAACTATTCACAGAAACAAGTGAATTTTAGGCAAATGGACCATATTTGTGCAAAGAAAAAATGAATGTGAATATTTCAAGAGTTACTCTCATCCAACCAGGGAACAGTAATACACTCTCTCACCTGTGTGTCCAATCAAAAGAGTTCAAATATCAAATACTGGCAACAAATTCCTCAGGAAAATGTTAAAAACTGAGAATTATTCATAGAAATTATTTGTTGAGCAATTTCAAATAACAAATTAGAGAAAATCAGATCAGCTCACAGATAATTTGTGAACAGAGAAAAGGTTGAGTTGTCATAGAAACTACTTGTTTTGAATTATACACCCAGATCTGCTAAGGATACAATTTAATAATCTAATCTGCGATACTACCATGTGCATCTTTTCTCAGTTGGCTTTAAGCTTTCCTTGTCTTTCCCCTGCCTATCATTTTGCACACTGATCTTTTAAGTAATATGTCTTGCTAATGAAGTAACTGCTAAATAATTAAATAAAAACCCACTTATGGAAACATTTTATTTGGATGAGACATCTTGTATAAATCCCTCTCTGTTACACAAATTATTTCCTTTTATCCTTCTTATTATATTATTTGTATTGTAATACTGCTTCAGGGCATCAGTCAAGGATTCCCCGCCTCCACACCCTTATTGTGGCAGGCATTGTTTTCACACACAGCAAAAAGATGGGCTGTCCCAAATAGTTTACAAACTAAGGATAAAATTCAGAGTAACAGCCGTGTTAGTCTATGGATAAAATTTTAAGGATAAAATGAGAGTCAACAAATACATGCAATAAACTGACAGGCAGAGCACAAGATAATTAGATGATTATGAACAGAGATTATGAACTCTGTAATCCTCCTACACTCTCCACAACTCTAACCATAACTGAGCCATGAAAAAAAACTACAGAGCAAATTATAAAGATATGGGCTCTGACTGCTAATTACAGAACCTCCGTGGACATCCTGAGCTATGGGCACTAAACCAGGATTACATGGCCATCTTCTGCCTGGAATAGCAGATTTAAGAAACAAAAACATCCTAGATGTCTAGTCTAATTACAGAGGAAATACAATTAAATGGAATGTGATTGAAATTGGTATGTATCCCTTAAGAAAAGATACTGTCTTATAACACTGGAATCTTTAGATACATCACTGAAATAACCCTCTGTTCTCATTCTGTCTAAACCTTGTGTACTCAAATAAATGGCTACTTTACACAACTCTGAGGATTCATAGCTAAGCTTGACCTTCCTACGCCAGAGTCCTTTAGAAGTGTCACAGGAAAAAGGAGATTTTTACCGTTCCTGAAGAAAGAGCATTGCAAATTAACGTATATAGATCACAACTGCAGCTGAAATCAAAGTGAATGATTACTCTAATATTTTTAATCTATATTATAAAATCAAGACACTTGGGGCTAGGTATGTGGACACATTTGGAACTCCAGAAAATATTAATGGTCACTTTTGTGGTTTCTTCAAGATTAGTTACCAACAGGGCAAGGGTTGACAGAACAGTGTCCCTGAAATGTTAAAAAAGATAAACTGACATATAGTAATAATTAAAAAGACGGGTCATGGAGAAAAGGCTGGCACTAATATCAAGAGGAAGAAATTGGGTATGCAAGCATACACAGAACCACCAGAGTATTCTAAATTCAATGTACCTGTCACAACCTGAACTTTATTGTTAATGAGGTATTACATTCATCAAGGAAATAGGGTTTTGTAACATTCCAGGGCCCAAATAATTTATTCTTTGTCTCTTTAGCAAGTCAGCAATCCTGAAGGTGTATGCAGTGCTGAATACTGATGTCAATATTGGATAGCACACTGGCATCAGGGAACTAGACAAGTGACTGGATTTCAGGATGCAGCAGCAGACATCGAAAAAACTAATGAACCTATCAGCATGTGAAGCAGCTATGCTAAAGGTTTACAACAGGACAATAGTTAATGCAGTGCTTTGAACATGTATCAACTATGCAAGTTCTAAGTATTAGTACTGCTTTTATGCTATTGCAGCCATACCTGGTGTGCCTTGTGATTTGTCACAACTTCCTCTTAAGAGCTCAATTTAGTTACTAGTCCCACTGAAGACTCTGCGCAATTTTGATGTTCAGTCCCACAGTTCTTATTTAGGCAAATAGCCCATTGATTTCAATAGCAATTTTACCTAAGACAGCACTGTGTAAGGACTGGAAACTATAACCAAAGCAATTAATGGTATTAAGTAGATTCATAGAAGGATGAACAAGACAAACAGCCCTTTTTTCAACTTTGATTTCTAGGACTCCGTGGTAAATAAATCCTACTGCAATAGAGATTGAGGAAGCTTTTAAAAGAGCATCCATGAATGTTTCCAACCTGTCAAATGAGCTATGGTATGTCTTGTGAAATCTCCCAAATTAGGGTTGGACAAGCAAAACAAATGTTCAGTTAAAGTGACAAAGAAACTGTCCAAAATCCCCAGCTGAAATTCAAAAGGGATTTTTGTGCTACTCTTGCAATGCTAGAAGAAAGGTTTCAATCACTCTCTCACTTCCAGTAGACATTCAGAATATATACATTTTTTTCCATTCTCAAGGAGACTAACTGGAAAGCACTCTGTAAACGTGAAAGCAAAACTGACAGAACCAAAAAAAAAACCCTCCCACATGTCTCATCATGAGCTGAATGACTGAAAGTGAAAAAACTACACTGAAACTTCCAATTTCTTGTTGGACAAACCAGCAGAGAGATGCCCCAAAATTGGGATGTCTCGGCATGTATCATTACTACAGAGCAACATGCTGCCATGATCAGAGATCACCCGGGTTTGTGACTTTGTGACCTTGCACGTTTTTTCTGAGTTTGAAGTTGACACAAGTTTAAGACCCCAATCCTGCCAAAAGATGCACACAGGTGAACCGTTGCACCAGTGGGTAGCCTCAATGGGGTTCCACACCAGCCCAAGGATCCACCTGCTCACACGTCACTGCAGAATTCAGCCTAAATTATTATCACATCACCCCAGAGACCACTTAGAAGACACTCAGCTACCCCCTAACTCCACTGGAGCTATTTACAGCAGCTGAGGATTTGGCCCACGAAGTTTAAGAACACAAAAAAGCCACATACACATTCATACATATTTCAAAGGGATCTTTGCTCTTCAGCAGATTAGCAGCTGTTATTTATTTGTTGATCAGGTTCTAATGCAGTATATCTCTCAACATATTCTTAAACACATGCCAATTAACTCAACTTGTTATAGACTTGGAACTGTTTCCTGTAATGGCTTCAAACACCATGCAATGGAAGCATCATCTCTATCTCAGATATAGCATTAAACTGGCAAGTTCCAAACTTTGCCAGTTTTGACCCGATAGTACAACTTACTGTGATTAAGGGCTGCAAAATCATGCCTTACGTAATATAATCTAGAGATCTGACAACACTGACCTTATCAAGACTGATGAAACTGTTGGCTGCATTTCAAATTGCGTATGAGAAATAAGCCCTCATTGCTTGTTTGTAAACTTTCTATAAAATATGTGCTTTATGCGTTATTAACAGGTTGTAAACTGAACACAAGGTCGGTCTAAAACTGCTGGCAAGTAAATACAGTATTACTCAGCACAAATCTTTTCATTTACATAACATCAGATTCTTGTAGCATAATTAATCTTGGCAGCACAACTAAGCTTTCCTCAGTATGCGCTCTTAAACAGCTGTTATGATGAGAAAAGTATTCCAGATTTTTTGTGAAAGAATTTAGTGCTACGTTAGTGGAAATGCAAAGAGCCTGATTCTGACACCCTTACTCATGCTGAGTAATCGTATTCAAATAGTCCTATTGACCTCGATGAGAGTACTGGCATAAGTACTACAACATGAATGCAGGAAGTAAACGGGCAGAATCAGGCCATTAATATTACACTGCTAATATATTACTTTAGGGAGGGGTGAAAGTCATAACACCAATAAATGACTTGAGGCAGTGAGTCATTTCATTTTAATCAGAGATGGGCTCAAACCAGAATCCCAGATAATAATAGCTCTAGACTTTGGGGAAACTCAGATCCCATTCCAAAATCTGGTGTTTCACATTAAATTAAATACACTGCTATAATAATAAGTCTTTGCAATTGCCCTTTAACAAAAATAGATTTTAAAGGAACACCCAAAACAAGATGCACATTTAAAGGTGACCAACTTAAAATTAGCTGCACCTACCTTTATTGTTCTTGCATATGGCTGTCAGTATGCGATTTCCATGCCCACATTTTCCATGATCAGGTACACAGGCTCCTTCGGAAATGACCCACTGGTAACACATTGGGTCTTCACAAGGAATAGATTCTACTAAGTGTGGACAACCCTGAGACATACCAATGGGTTCCATAATAACCTGCCTTTGTCTCATTCTAAATCCTAGAAAGACAGAACAGAGAAATTTTTTATCATCAGTATTAAGATATTTTGCCTGCAAAAGTTGATATATAGGGCATGTGGAATTCTAAGGCATTTCAAACTGTATTTTTAATAAAAAAAAACAGTATAGCAATGTTCATAAGTAAGGCTACGAGTCTGTGAGAGGTCACAGATTCCAGCCACACTGCCTCCCACCCCGCCAGCAGTGGCGGTCCTGAGCCAGCACTGCCACCCCCGACCAGCAATGGTGGCGGCGCCAGTCCCAGGCCGCCCCTTGCGCTTACACCTCCGCCCCCCGAGCACCAGCGGGCACCCCAGACCCCCCCCTCCAGTCCAGCAGCTGTACTCCCGGAGCCCCCCAGAACACTCAAGATTTAGACAGGGGTATATAGTACAAGCCATGGACAGGTCACGGGGCCGTGGATTTTTATTGTCCATGACTTTTACTAAAAATACCCATGGCTAAATCTTAGCCTTATTCATAAGGCCTTCTAAATATTTGCAAGCTCACTGGCCTTGCAAAAAAAAAAAAAAAAAGACAGAATGTATCTCTCTCTATTTACTAGTTTTGTTCACTGACAAA